TTTCCAAACACCACATGCCTTCTGGTTTTTTGACTGCTGTTCTCATAGACGTTGATTGTGGATTTAAAGAAAAGAATTAATTGCATTAATAAAACAATAGGCAAATATATACATTACAATGAAATAGTTGTCCAATTACTTGCTTAATGTTTGTTTCTTCACTGGACTCCAAGCTCTCTTGGTGCAGGGGCTGGGCCTTGGTTTCTGCTGAAATCCTAACTTCATTTATATAACCAAAAGTTTGGATCCGCTCATGGATACCTTGAAAAGAAGATCAAATGATATAGTTTTGAAAAAGCAGCTGTGAAAACCAGATGGAACTTTGATTTACTCTGACATACAGGAGGTTGTCATGAGTTGGAGTTTAAAACAAGGTTATGAATATCAGGATTCCCGAGTTCCTTGGGAGTAACTGCCATATAAGAAAGCAGGATTTGGTTTCATTTTCCTCAGCTTCAGCTTGAACTTGCATATGAGTAATTGGTGGTCTGTTCCACAATCAGCGCCTGGCCTAGTTTTCACAGCTGATATTGAGCTTCTCCAGCGGTTCCTTCCACAGATGTAGTCGATCTGATTCCTATGCATACCATCAGGTGAAGTCCATGTGTATAACCTGCGTTTGTGTCTCTTATAAAATGTATTTGCAATGAATAAGTCATTGATTTTATAAAATTCAATCATTCTATCTCCAGCTTCATTCCTGTCACCAAGCCCATGTTTTCCGACTACTGATTCTTCTTCTCTGTTCCCAACTTTTGCATTCCAGTCACCTATTATTATCAATGCATCTTGATTGCATGTTTGATCTATCTCTTACTGTAAAAGTTGGTATAAATTATCTATTTCTTCTTCTTTGACAAAAAAAAAAAGAAAGCAGTTTAAGACAGGTTTGAAAGCAGGAGTGTCATCCACTTCCTAAACCACATGCCACTGGAAACTCTATGAATTTAGAGAAATTATATCAGTTACAGAAAGACTTCAGGCCTTCTGTTCTTCGGGTTGCTATGAGTCGTGCTCGACTCAAAGGTAATCGACAACAACAATAGCAACATAAGTAACTTACAGCTGGATAATGACTAGGGATCATAAAAAGAGAATTGATATCTTTGAGCTGTGGTGCTGGAGAAGAGTGTTGAATATACCATGGACTGCTAAGAGAAAAAACAGGTTCATTCTAGAGAGGGTTAAACCAAGCTGCTCCTTGGAGGCAAGGATTCTGAAGCTTCGTCTGATATACTTTGGACATGTTGCAAGGAGGGACCTTGGAGGGGGAAGTCCTGCTTGGAAGGTAGAGGGACAGTGCAAAAGAGGAAGATCCTTGTGAGATGGATTGATTCAGTGACTGGGGTAATGGAGGTAGAGACAATATGTGTCAGAGACAATAAGATTGGCACAGGATAGAGCAGGGTTTAGGGTTGTTGTACAGGTCACTATGAGACGCAGACAACTCAACAGCACATAACAACAACAACAACAACAACAACAATAATGTATAAGTAACTGCCATATAAGAAAGTTAAGAGATAAATTCCATATAAGAATTTATCAGTTAACTGTTGTTGTTGTTGCTCGGTGTCATCAAGCTGATTCAGAGTGATCCTATGAACAACGAGGTTGAATCTTGCCCTAGTGCATGCCATCCTCACCATTCCTGATATGCTCTGACCCTTGTTACAGTCACCATGTCTGTCCATCTTCTTGAGAGTCTTCCTCTCTTCACTCACCCTCCACCTTTCCAAGCATGAAGTCTTTTTCCAAGGACTTGGTCCCTACTAACAACGTACCCAAAGCACGTGAGATGAAGGTACACCCTCCTTGCCACTAAGAAGTACCCCAGTTGCACTTTTTCCAAAAGTTTCTTCTTTTGGCAGTCCATGAAATCTTTAACTCCACAACTCAAAGGCATTGCTATTTATCAATGCCTGGTGTTTGCCAGGATGTGTCCACTTGCCGTAACTTGTGGTCACTGTGAAGCTGACACTGTGACACTGGTGTGTCAAATGCGATAACGGTTAGCCATGGTGGACAGTATTTTTTTTTTTTTTTTTGTGGACAGTATTTGGTGGCGCTCCCTGGTTAAATAAGCTTGGAAGTAGGAGTGGCATCCACTTCCGTAATAGCTTGCTTCTGGAAACCCTATGAACCTGGAGAAAGGATTAAAGTCGTGCAAGTGTCAAGGACTTTCGTTCATAGAGTGGCTATGAGTCACCTACGACTTGAAGGCACTTAACATAGAGACCAGTTGGCCTAGTGGACCGAAAGCAATGCTACCAAGCCAAAGGTGGGTGACTCTAATCCGCAGCCCTAAGGCCTATTTTTCATTGTTTTTGTTCAAACAGTGTCCTAGGTTGTATCGCCCTGGTGTGTCCACTTGCCGTACAGAGATAACTTGTGGTCACTGTGAAGCTGAACACTGTGACACTGGTGTGTCAAATGCAATAACAGTTACCCATGGTGGACAGTGTTTGGTGGAGTTCCCTGGTTGAAACAAGCTTGGAAGCAGGAGTGGCATCCACTTCCCTAATAGCTTGCCTCCGGAAACCCTTTGAACCTGAAGAAAGGATGAAAGTCATGCAAGTGTCGAGGACTTTCATTCATAGGGTCGCTATGAGTCACCTATGACTCGACGGCACTTAACAACAACAACAACAACAACAACAACAACAACAACAACAACAACAACAGTGTTTGCCAGAGGGAGCTCTGGTAGCCTAGTGGCAAGAAGCTGCACTACAATCCCAAAGACGTGTGGTTTGAGGCCACCAGCTGCTGTGCTGGAGAAGGATGGGCAGTCTCTTCCTGTGTGATTAACAGCTTCTGAAAACCTGCCAGAGGGTCAGCTACGGGTTGGTTCCAACTCTATGGTACACAATGATGATGATGACGACGACGACGACAACAACAACAACAAAGTATGTGCCAGATCAAGCTGAATACAGTGGAGAACATAGATCTCAAAGCATTATGATCAAAGGTTGGGTGTGTTTGTCTTGACAAGTATGAAGGGTAAGCATGTGGAAGAAGGGGGCAATTCACTTCGGGCTGCTCCACGGGGCAGCGAGCTGAGCTGGGTGGGGGTTCTGGTTCCAGTCCTGATAAAATGTGTGGGTGGCTTTAAGCAAGTCACACAGATCTCAGAGTTGGGTCAGAGCAGGCTTATAGGCCATCTGGTGCAACCTCTTAGGTTACCCAAGGATGCAGTCTCTACAATGGGCCTCACCACACCCTATATGCACTTAGAGTTCTTAAGGGTAAAAAAAAGACTTGGACCAGATGACCTTGCAGTTTCCTTCTGACTCTAATCTTCTAGAATCACAATTGTGAGGAGGTTTGTGGATGTGGATCTGATTCCATCACAAGTGTGGCCTCTCTCCTCCATCCTTCATACTGGAAGAGAGGGACATTAGAAATCTTTCTCAGAACTCTTCCTAAAACACATTCAAGGAGCTCAGAAAGATGGTACAAAACTTTGCTTCTGTAAAACAGTCCATAGGATTTGGGCTTGGAGATGATTCTCAACATACTTCTCAGCTCCTTTTTATAGACTCCAGGATTGCTCTGCTTCCTGGCCTGGGTGTACCTTCCTGGCTCTTTTGTCTCTCTCTCCTTTCCTCATCTGGCCCCTCATGTCCTTGAGGTCATCTATGGTTCAGTTCCCTTTTGGTTTGTTGCCGGATGGGGTTAAAGGAAGGAGGAAGGGGCTTCTAATCCTTTTGAGTGAAGGGAAACATGCACAGTTGTCTGGGCTGGGGTGAGAGATCTACCAAGATTGTTCACATTACTGAGACTAACTTCCTCATAGCATATCTTTTGAATGTTTATTATTCTTGTCTCTGTTTTTGCTTTGAAGGACATTATCAAAGGGTCCTTCCCTCAATATCTTAACTTCAGCATACACTGGGCTCTAGACAAGGATGGAGCTCAGATAAATGGCCTTCTTGCCACCTAAAGAAGAAGTTTAGAAATGACTAAAAATCAGAGCCGTCCAACTCTTCTGACTGCAGTGCAGGAGGTGCTGGGTGTCTTCCTCCCAGGAGGCCTGCTTGGGTGAGAGGATACAAACCACACCATTAACCATAGTGTGCCCCTCCACTTCCCACCCTCAGCCAAGAAGCAATCCCGTGTGGAGAGCCCCAAGTTCTCTATTCTTTTTCGCAGCCCTCTAATAGAACATTTTCCTAAATAAACATCTTATTTCCAAGCCGATGTATCTCTGGTTTGTCACCAAGTAAATGAAGGTGGATGGGCCTGGATCTGCGTGTCTGTGGAAAGAACTGGCCTCAAAGGCTCCGTCTTGGGCCATCCTGGATGGAGAGCCTGGTGTGATTGGGGTGGTGCCTCATGTATGATTGCTGGGCTGGGTTAGAGGAGGGACTTTGACAACCTATTTTTCAGTTTCATTTCCAAATACTGGAGTGTCATTTAGTCAATGATGACAATAACAGCTCCTTTGACCTTCTGATTTTTGCAAAAGGCTTTCCTTCACCAACTTTCCCGGACAGCTTCTCCTGTGACAAGCCTCATTCTTCTCTATCCAGGATCACCAGGGGGATTCTGATCCTCTGAGACTCCTCTATTTCCTTTTCTCCTCAAACATGCATCTCTGTCCCAATCTTTTCCTCCAGGAAGCATTCCTTAAATGATCCCTGGCTTTACGCAGGGTCATCCCTTCCATTTCCTGCACTGACATGCTGGTATCTGGCTATTTCCTTGTCCCCAGGGCATGCTCTAACTCTCCTATCTGGGAGCCTCAAGACACAGTCTGGATCTCCTTCTGTGGGCTTTGCACGTGCCTGGGAGGCCTTCGAGGGCAGGAGTGTGTGTCAGGATAGGTCAACTGGAGCCGAGTGTCAGACACAGTCAGGCCAAGAGCATCTTGCTCTCAGAGGCCCAGCCCAAGTAAGGGAGGGGATAAAAGTCTCGTGCCGAGGCCCCGGGGCAGGAACTCACATACCTTGGAAATCTGTCTGTGTACAGCTGCGTGACCATCAGCCTCTGCCATGTCTCTCTCCCCATGCCGAGCCCAGAGGGGCTTCAGTTCTCGCTCAGCCTGTTCTGCTCACTCAGGGGGCCGGAACTGGGGCAGCTTCAGTAGCAGGAGCCTTAGTCCCTTTGGGAGGTCCCGAGGGGCCTCCAGAGGGAGCATCTGGGGGTCAGGAAGAAGGCTCGGGATGCAGTTTGGAGAGGGGAAAGGTGGTCCTGGCCTTTCCCTGTGCCCTCCGGGGGGCATCCAAGAAGTGACCATCAACCAAAACCTGCTGACACCGTTGAAGATTGAGATTGACCCCCAATTCCAGGTGGTACGGACCCAGGAGACCCAAGAAATCAGAACCCTCAACAACCAGTTTGCTTCCTTCATTGACAAGGTGAGGTTCAAATCTCTGTTTCTGTACTTCTCTCAGAGAAGCTGCTCGTGAGAGACTTGCATGACTTCCTCTACCTCTTTTCTGCTCACCCTGTGGTCTAAGTGGAGCCTTTTTGGTTGTGCTGAGGTCCTGTTTTGTGCTTGGAGCTCTGGCTAATTGGCATTGCTCCTGCAAATCTCTTTGATGTGCTCAAGTCTCATGGTAGACATGAGGCACCACCTCCTCAACCCTGGGCCAGGCTGAGTAGGGAGGCAGGAAAAAGGTGGCTGACTGGAGGGTCTCCCTGTGGCTTTAATTTTTAGAGAATCTACTCAGGAAATACTGTATGAATCTCAAGAGCCTGCTGCTTGGCTTGCAGGTGCGGTTCCTGGAGCAGCAGAACAAGGTGCTAGAGACCAAGTGGCACTTGCTCCAACAGCAAGGAGGGCATGTCAGCCCCCAAGGCCTGGACCCTTTCTTTGAGGACTTCCTGGCCCATCTCAGGAAGCAGCTGGAAATGCTCCAGAGAGAACGAGGGTCTCTGGACGCTGAGCTGAAAACCTGTCAGGACCAGGAGGAGGAGTTCAAGGCCAAGTAGGCAAAGCCGAGTTTCCAGCATTTTGCCATGGGGCCTGGGCGGCATCTGGGAGGACTCAGATGAGGGCTGTCATCCAGAGAAGGTCTCTCCAGACCTGGAAAGCCTTGGAGGAAGACCAAGGAGACTGTTTCCATTGGGCTGCTGTGTGGTGTGGTTCTAACAGACCTCTGCTCTGAGGGCCCCTGTTTCTCATCAAGCCTGGGAAGGGCTTATTTCAACAATGCCTTGGTGGGTTTTTTCTCAAGAAATTCCTGTTCAGCAGGCTGTGGGCCAGTGTGACTCAGATGTTCTCTGGTCTCAGTACTGGAAGGAAATCAATTTAGTGGGACCATCCCCAGGCCAATGGCATGATTCACAGCTGGGCTGTGGTTCTGAGCTCCTTCTAGGTCACCTGGTGGTGTGGAGAGAGTCTTAGAATAAGAAAAAGTTTGAGTTTGGGCAACTAATAGGAAGGAGCAGCTGTTTAACCTCTCAGCCTCAGTTTTCATTATGTTGCCTACTCTTGTTACCTTCTACCGCCAAAGGGAGGATGGTCATGGACAAGAGCCTAAGGCTGATATAAGAGACCTGAATTTTAGGTCTTCTTTGGCTCCACAATCATTTACAGGATCTTGATCAAGTCATGGAAACTACTCTGATAAAACTCTGTCTACTTTAGATAGAGGATGTGAGTAGCAAGCAAGAACAGGTGCTTTGTAAATGTTGACATAAACAGACCAATTGTCATCCAGGGAGATAGAAGGAATGTTCGGCAGAGGGACGTTGCTAGAATGCAGGGAGAGATTCCTTCTTGGAGAGATAAGAGGGGGCTGGTGGTGTGTGTCCTTTTTTTGGAGTACCTATAGGAAAGGGTGACTTCTGAGAGGTCTTGCATGGAGGCAGGACATGTGAGCTCAGCACCTCAGGCTGGCTTTTTTCTCCTCATTTGGCAGGTATGAACGAGAGGCTCACACACGGGCCACGGTTGAGAATGACTTTGTGGTCCTCAAAAAGGTAAGAGTGGGGATCTGCATTCCCTCTAATGCTGAGCACCCACAGTGAGTGCACAATGTTCAGGCCCAGGCTCGGAGGAGGAGGATGATGCAGAGAGTGAGGAAGACTCTGCAGGGAATTCCCATGAAAATAGACCTTTACCCAGAGCACACATCCCTTGTCTACCCAGACAAGCTTAGTTGAGAGATGAAGGGATGAGCTCTGGGTGTTGCTTTGGGAGAGGTGGAGAGATAGAGGAGGAAGAACTGGTTGGATTTCTCAAGGAGACTTCCTGAAGTTGGGAGGAGTGCTGAATCAGGGAAAGGAGAGTAGGGCTGGAGGAGTGTGTCTTTATGATGACAAGTGTATGGGGAAGAGAGTGAACAGAATTCCTAAGCCAGGAAGCAGGGACCACCAGGTGGAGGAGGAGGGGATACATGGTATCTGTCTCTTTGTCCCTAGGATGTGGATGCCGTCTTCCTGAGCAAGATGGAGTTGGAAAGCAGGATGGAGGCTCTGCGAGAGTACATCTGCTTCTTGAAGCGTCTGTATCAAGAAGTGAGGATCTGCTGAGGGCAGGGAGGGTTGAGAGGAGAGGGTCTGGGTGGGGGGGATTCCTGGTCACCAAGATGAGATGCTAGCCTGCACGTTATGCTTTATTATGGTGATTTAGATTCCTTTCCAGTCCTCAAGTGAGCTCTGGTGGCCTAGTGGGTAAGGAGTTCCAATCTACCAGTTGCTCCACAAGAGAGAGATGGACAAACTCCTTCTGTGCAATTTACAGCCTGAGAACCCATTGGAGGGTCAACTATGAGCTAATTATAATTTGATGGCAATGAGAGAGAATGAGAGTTAGCAGTCATCAGCAGTTTCTGAATGCTTACCCTGTGAATGGTTAGTGCACTCAACTTCTAACCAAAAGGCTGGAGATTCGAGTCCACTCAGAGGTGTCTCAAAAGAAAGGCAAACAAGCATTGAAAACCTTACAAAGCACAGTTATACCTTGACACACATGGGTTCACCATGAGCCTGGGCCAACTAGACTAGCTGCTGGTTACTATGTGGATAGCTAGGTCCTAGGGAGCCATCGGTTGATAACCAGACAACAACCATGAAGCTCACTTTCTATTGGGGAATAGGCAATAAACAACAGAAATAATAAATAAGTACATTTTAGAATATGCTAGAAGGATTCTTCCCACTGGGCAGATTGGCAGCATAGTGATACATGGTGAAGGCATTGAGTTTGTTAACAGCTTTAGTTGCTTGGCTCCACAATCAACACTCTTGGTCCAGCAGCCAGGAAATGAAAAGATGTATTTCATTGGGAAAGTCTGTTGTCGGAGGCCTCTCCAGAGTACTGAAGCAAGTACTTAGTCTGGAGACTAAGGTTTGCCTGATCCAGGCCATAGTCTTTGCAATTACTTCCTATGCATTGGAAAGCTGGACAACGACTAAAGATGATAGAAGGAGAATTGATGCCTTTGAGCTTTGATGCTGGAGAAGAGTATTGAATATACTATGGACTGCCAGAACAAACAGGTTTGTCCTAGAGAGGGTGAGAGCAGGCTGTTCCTTGGAGGCAAGGATTCTGAAGCTTCGTCTGAAATACTTTGGACATGTTTCAAGGCGGGATCAGTCCTCGGAGAGGGACGTCATGCTTGGGAGGGTAGAGGCACAGCGCAAGAGAGGAAGACCCTCGATGAAGATGGATTGATTCAGTCACTGGGATAATGGGGGTAGGTGTGTCAGAGACAATAAGATTGGCACAGAATAGAGCAGGGTTTAGGGCTGTTGTGCATAAGGTCATTATGAGTTGCAGGTGACTCAACGGCACATAATAATAACAACAGCAAAGAAGGTGCCAAAGGCTATGGGAAAAAGAAAAATTAAACCAAGAAAAGAAGAATTGAAAGTAGGAGAGGGACATAGGATGGTGACAATTTTTTAAAAAGGTGGTCAGGACAGAGCCTTCTTCAGAAGGCAAAATTTGAGTAAAGATTTGAAGGAGAGGAGGAAGCGAGCAACCGAGGTGGGTTATTTGGGGATTCAAGACAGAGGGAAGAGCTACTTCAAGGTCACTGATGTGACTAGTAACTTTGAGGAAATGCAAAGACTGGGGCAATGGGAGTGGAAGGTGGGGAAAAGATTGTTATATGAATTCAGAGAGTAATGGTGACCAGCTCATAAAAGACATTGAAGCCTTTGATGTTGAAGTTCAATGCTTTTCAGAGACCACTTGCTATAAGTCTCCCTTCCAGATGAGGAACCCCATAGAGGATGGGATGCTAAATGAAACCCAGAGTGAAAACTGTCTACCCCCTGCCCCTGATATCCTTCTCATCTTCTTGGGGCTCCCAGGGGGCTGTCGACACTGATTCAATCTTCCCTGCAGGAGCTGAGCCAATTCCAGACCCAGGTCAGTGACACATCTGTGGTGTTATCCATGGACAACAACCGCTGCCTGGACTTCAGTGACATCATCGCCGAGGTCCGAGCCCGGTATGAGGAGATCACTCAGACCAGCAAAGCTGAGGCCGAGGCTCTGTACCAGACCAAGGTGTGGAGACTGGGGGTAGCACTGTGCTGGAATAGCTTGGTCTCCACACCCCTGCCTCATGTGGACATCCGCGGCTGTCCTCTTGGGGCAGTCCCTGAAAGCCACACAAGGAAGCCCTGTGAAGAAGTTTAGGCTTCTGCAAGCTTATCCCTTTATTTTCTGGTATTTGGTCCAAATTGAGAATGCAAGGAAGAGAGGAGAGCATGATGCCTTCCATAGTTTTGGGGTTAAAAGTGTGGATTCTGTCATATAACAGGGCCACCTGTACTCCTTTCTCAGTACCACAAGCTTCAGGAGTCTGTCCAGCTTCATGGAGACAGCATGAAGGAAACCAAAGCCCAGATCTCCCAGCTGAACCATGAGATTGAGAGACTGCAGGGTCAGATTGGGAACCTGAAGAAGCAGGTAAGATCCCAAAGTGCTCTTGACCCTCTTCTCTTATCATCATAATCCTTAGTCCTTCAACTCCATCTATAATTCCTATTTTCTCTCTCTGGCTCTTCAATCACCACTGGTTTTAGGTTGAAAAAAGTAGTCACTGGCTGGAGATCTGGATAACTTGGGGTGGAGAGAACCTCAGGCTCCATTTAGGATAAATTCAGTCTTCCTTCTAGAAATTTTAGCATGCATATTTTTTTAAAAAGAAAACTTTTATTTTATACTGGTTTATTTACAAAGTTCATATATACTGTTTTCCACACCAGATCTTTCCCATTTCTTTTTTT